CAATAGAGCCTCCACGTTAATTCTCACTAGACGCGCTAGAAAAAAAGATAAATGCTAGAAAATCTCATATTAATCAGAAACATCCAGCCATCAAATCGAAAGACTTAGCCATCTAAAACCATTGGATCTATTTTATTTTATCCAAAATTACCCATCTCTGCTATTATACTAAAAAAATCTATTTTCTAAAGAAAAAGAAAAAGTTTGCCGTACAAGAAAAACTTGAGCCCCATTCCAAACATTCGCTTCATATTGGTTAATATAAAATATTAGATTGGCCTATCTATCACGTTGTCTTGATTAATATATTAATATTAATATAAAAATATCATGACCCATCACGTTTATAGATCTATTAATAAACTTATTTTTTTGTAAAGAAAAAGTGTTAACAAATTAGATTGGCAAACAAATCACGTTCACTTGGTTAATGTATTAATACACGCTCATATTTCGTTAATATTTAATGATCACTAGACGCGTTAGAAAAGATAAGTACTAGAAAATTTCACATTAATCAAAAATATCTGGCCATTACATCAAAATACTCAAGTCATTCATAACCATTGGATCTATTTTATTTTGTACCAAATTACCCACCTTTGTCATTATACTAAATAACTTTTTAATGAAAAAAAACTGGCCGTACAAAATTTTTTTGACCTGCATTACAAACGTTCGTTTCATAGTTGGTTGATATAAAATCTTATCTTACTATTGCTGATTGGAGGCTTCAACGGAGCCTTTATGTTAATCCTCACCAGACGTGGCAGAAAAAAAGAGAAATGCTAGAAAATGTCACATTAATTAGAAAGGTTCGGCCATCAAATCGAAAGACTTAGCCATCCAAAACCATTGGATCTATTTTATTTATCCAAAATTACCCACCTCTACCATTATACTAAAAAAATCTATTTTCTAAAGGAAAAGAAAAGGTTTGCCGTACAAGAAAAACTTGAGCCTCATTCCAAACGTTCGCTTCATATTGGTTAATATAAAATATTAGATTGGCCTATCTATCACGTTGACTTGATTAATATATTAATATTAATATAAAAATATCAGGACCCGTCACGTTTGTAGATCTATTAATAAACTTATTTTTGTTGTAAAGAAAAAGTGTAAACATATTAGATTGGCCAACAAATCACGTTCACTTGGTTAATGTATTAATACACGTTCACAAGTTAAAAAAAGATAAATAATAGAAAATCTCACATTAATCAAAAACATCTAGCCATTAAATCAAAATACTCTAGCCATTCATAACCATTGAATCTATTTTATTTTATACCAAATTACCCACCTTTGCCATTATACTAAATAACTTTTTTAATGAAAAAGAAAAACTTTGGTCGTACAGAAAAAATCTTAATCCGCATTGCAAACGTTCGTTTCATAGTTGGTTGATATAAAATAAAATATTAGATTGGCCTTTTTAATACATTTAGATTTATGAATCCATTTTACTGCCTTTTTAATAAATTACTCTGTTATGATTTGCATTACGATTTGTCACATATATCTATCTGCAACCATGCATGCCATTCAGTCAGTTTGAGCCATTCCGGCAAGCAACTCCTGTGCAAGTATATAATCTACTATTATGCCATAATAATTCCTCAGTTAATAAAGCATACATATAATAAAACTAAAATAAAGACCCCCTGCAATGTATAATAAATATTAATATAAGCTATCACAAAAAAATCTACAAATTAGCTATATATATTTCTAAATTATATACTCCTATAACAGTTAAGTTAGAAACAAGCATAATGTTATGTTCCACCGTATAGACCAACTAAACATGTATACATTAGAATAACTATTTATTTTAACAACTTATCTTGCGTAAAAAATTATTCCCTTAATAAATGACATAGGTGATTAAGTTATTTAATACTCCAAGATAATAAATTTTGAAAATTATTATTCAAGATAAGTGTACACATTTTGACTAAAACATTATATATAAATATTTCTATTTAATTTTAAGCACTCTATGTTCTAGAAGATGATGTTATAATATGCCATTATAAAAGATAATATAAAGTAACATATTTAGATTTGTATCTAAATGATCTATATCTTACTGTTATTTTAATAGCTTATCAAAAAATTAAATAACCATAAAGCACAAATACGTTTCTCTATTGCTCATTTTATAAATATTAATACAATAAAATTTGATTAAAGTAAACATACATATTGTGCCAACATGCAAATCTCTCTCTCTCTCTCGCGCGCACACACACATGCACTTAAGATATATATATTTTTATATTTTAACTAAAATGTTTCATAAAAAAATCAAACATCTTGAGAAAAAAGAGGATGTTAGTATATACCATAGTTGCCTACATCAAATCTCAGTTCGAACTCTATCACTAATCTTAAGTGACATGGTGTAGGCTTAAAAACTAATGATTACTTATGTCATCATGATACTTAAGAGGAAATATTAGTACAAACATTTACTCCAAAGATTCTGACCCGTGTGAGAGCACGGATTGATGGACTAGTTTCACTAATTGTGGTGGGTTAGGGTAGGCATGTAGCAATGGTGTTAGAGCATTTTCACCAAATCGGCCTCTTTCCCTATAACCAACAATAAAGGGGATTCTATATGAAAAAAATAAACTATATTAAGTCTTTTTTTCTCAATCCCTCAAACAAAGGGGAAGTGGCACGTTTTTTTTTCAATCCCCTTATTACCTCCCCCGACTCGCGACAACCGTTGGATCCACGCATTTATGGTGCTCGTTCGGCAGCAGATCGCAGCACGCAGGAGCTAGGGACAGCCATGTCGTGCTTGGGCACCACGTGGGCAAGGGCAGGGCGAACCACACCACCATGCTGAACTAGAGCTAGCCACGCTGCTGTGCCGGGGCGCCGTGAGGGCAGGGGCAAGCGTGGTCGCCCAGGAATCGTAGGCGAGCATTGGGTGAGAGAAAGAAAACAGAAGAGGAAAGAAAAGGAGAGTTCTATGGACCAGAGTTTCTTCAATCTGCTAGAAAAACACTCCTCTATATTCTACTCCCTCTTGTCCAAATTATAAGATGTTTTGGCTTTTATAGATATATATAAATTTTGGCATGTACTTAGATATATATTATATTTAGATACATAGTAAAAAGAATGTATCTAGACTTCTAGAGAAGCCAAAAGTCTTATAATTTAATATAGAGTGAGTACAAATCTGTTTTTATAATCTCCTAAAATAAGTTCTAATGAAAAAGAGAAAAGGGATTTGCTGAAAGGCTCTTAGGGAGCTTCTTTGTTTACGGAAGAAGTACAGGATAAGGCAAGAGGCTGAGGATGAACAACTAGCCATATTCACCGCTTCAAATGGTCAAAGTATCCATTGGTTCTGTGGGTGTCCTATAAGCCCGCACTTGCTATGGACCAAAGTGCCTCGAAGTAGTAAATGCCAATTTGCTATTTGCGTCCCTACATGCTATCCTCTCCATTTATATAAAATATAAGGTGCAGCTAACCAGAGGAGACAATTGTAAGATTACTTATTGATAATAAAAAATATAAATCTGGGGCTTAAAATCTATATATGTGTATAATAAAAAGAAATAGAGGGAGTAAGGTTAAGCATAACATTTTAAGTGAACTAAGCGTAGCTTAATTGGATGGGTTATGTTGTGGTAGAACATGTCCACCTAGATTGGTAGGTAACGTGGTCATCGACAGCGATGCATCTATTATTCTTCGTCAATTCTTGAGATCTACTGTTCGGTCTTAGTCCCTTGAAGATGCTCAAAGACGCAATAAGTTATATACATGCACATACATATATGTAAGTTCTGCGATAGAAAAAAAACATAACATTTCAGCATTTACCACAGGTAAAAATCATGAAATCAGCATGTCACAAACATGCCATGTGCCACGTGTAGGCCACTAGTGCCCACATGTCGTTGAGACAAGGGCATTAACATCTAAAACACAATAATAGGGATGCTTGACACAGCCCGACTCTGAGATTGAAGTTGGATTTATATTTATAGAATCAATGAAAGTGATCTAAATATATAGTCTATGAATAAACAAGGCCGGTGGCAATAATCTAAAAATCCCCACTAATCAATCACAGGTGGCACCACGTGTGCCTAGAGCGAAGAAGCGCCGGTTGAATGAAGCCCTACGCAGCTATCGCCTGTGGGGCTCCGTTCGGCTTACCCTATATTTAGCTTGTTCGGCTTCTTTTTTCAGCCGGAACAGTATTTTTCTCTCCCAACAATTCAGTCAGAACAGTGATTCCATGGGGCAGGCAGGCGATAGGTTGTGTATGGGTTCTCAGCTGCAGGGTGGGTGATCCTCGAAGTACTGGAGATCCATCGAACTTGTAACCTCAGTACTGGCCTGCATTTCCTGGAGACGAGGAATGTACGCTGCACCTTTCATCCCCACGCCGTACCTACCATCACCCCCTACCGTCGCCAGCGCCAGCAGCGGCGCCGGAGCAAGCCAAACGTACTACGGCAGGCAGGGTGCGTCCAATGTCCATGCGTCCGCACGGTCCACTCGTCTTGGCCTCTAGCCAAACGTACTACGGCAGGCACCAGTGCCTCAGTGAGTGAGGGACTGAAGGAGCAGCTACTGACCGGGGCCCGGGGCCCTTCAGCTGGGCGTGGACGGCGGACGCAACGGCCACGCCGCCACACGCACGCTCGCTCACGCTGCCGGATGCTGACTGACGCACGCCCTCGCGTCGTGCGCGGCGTAAACAAAAATATCCGGGGCTGAGTGCGAGCCGCAAGTTGCCCCTCTTGCTCCCCCGATTCCTGGTGCAGATGCAGCGGACGGTAGGGCGCCTGCCACCCTATCGCTGCCTCGGCGCCGCGCCTATAAGTAGCGCGCATGCGCCGGCGCAGCAACCACGGCACGGCTCGAGCTCGCGGCGACTCGATCGGGGACAGGCAGCAAGTCGGCGGCGCGGCTGCAGGTTTCGTCCTCGACCTCGAACGGTGGTTTGGTTGGTTGCGATGGCCGGACGCGGAGGAGGCAGCAAGAGCAGCAGCCTGTACGCGGTGCTGGGCGTGGCCAGCGACTGCTCCGACGCCGAGCTGCGCAGCGCCTACCGCAAGCTCGCCATGGTTGGTGACCTCGGCCCTGACTCTGTTATTGCTCTTTGCCTCCTTGGCGTCTCTTCTTCCCCTGTCCGGTTGCCCTGTTTCGCTCAAAGATCGGACTCTGCTGCTCTGCTCACTGGTGTGTTACTGGTCTGTTGGTGGGCAGAAATGGCACCCGGACAAGTGCGCCGGCGCAGGGAGCTCCGCCGGCAGCGCGGACGCGGCCAAGGCCAGGTTTCAGAAGATCCAGGGAGCGTACGCCGGTAACCAATCTGCTTCGTATGATATGCGTTGAGCTGAGACTTCTTTTTTATGTATGTTGCTTGCAGGTTGGATACTACTAACGTTTTATGAGATTATCATGTACACTTAGTTATATTTTTTGCACACAGAATGCCATAATGAAACATGAAAAGTGATGTGATTTTTTACTGAACTTTTTGCCAGTTCTGTCCGACCCCAACAAGCGGATCCTGTATGACGTCGAGGCCTACGACGGCGAAGGCGACGATGACGTACGTACCACATGTGCATTTTCCAGTTTTGGGGTAGCAGGAGAGAGAGAGATTTTGGTTCCCGCCATGCTGACCGTTCAGCAGCTTAACTTTTGTTTTCCGCGTCTGGCAGGGCGCCGGGGAGATCCTCGGAGATATTCTGGAGGCCATGAGCCAGGCAGGCCCCGCCGTAAGAACTCATCAGCACCCGCCACCGAAACATGCACACTGACACTGATGAACTCCTTTGAGATGAGTCCATCAGTTCCTGTTTCCTGACGACGTGCACATTTGGCTCACAAGCAGGACAACGGCAAGAGGGAGAGCCTGGAGGACCTGCAGCGGCAGTTCGAGGAGCTGTTCCTGAGGCCGTCGCCGTCCTCCTTCTCGCCGGTGCGTCTCATCATATTCATGTCGCCCAGTCCCTCTGGGGTCCGTTCGGCATTCTCGGCATATAGATGCTCCTGGACCTGGGCCACGCCTGCGCCGGTGCGCGGGGCCAGGCGATGCCGCGATGGTGACAGGTCAGGTCCGTCCGGCCGTCAACCTCCGCGTCGCTTTCCGGCGAATGGCCCCGGCCTGGTCGGGCGGCGGCGTCGTTATTTAGGAATCTACGTCGTGCTAATTGCGTGGGCCACATGATCGCCCGCCTGGGTTCATGAGACGAGTGGCTCGAGGTCGACGAGGCGGGGCTCTTCTTGTCCATTGTTAATCTCAGTAGAATTGCTGGGTTTTAGCGTTTTTTTTTGACCGTGCGTGTTTCTTGATCGCGGCAGAACGATGCAGCTGGGAAGTCGGCGTCCACGAGGAGGCCTGCCGGGAGGAAGTAGACTGCGGCGTATGGTATAAAGCCGCATTGTAGCTACTCCTGTTTCAGATAAGCTACGAGGTATCGATACCGGGCCAGGACACTGACCTGCGACTAAGAGGAGGCTGCTGCCAGTCCTGCACACTGATGCTCATATGCTCCGAGTTGTAGCTACTGTACTACTGTAGATCGGTGTTCGCGAGATTGGTATCATAAGATAAGATGGCCACATACAGCAACATCTTTGTATGCACGCACGCTATATATCATCTCAGGTTAACGAGACACGCTGAAAAATTTCCAGTGTGTTATTATCTGTAAAATCCCTGCATAATTCCTATAAAATTCTTCGGGGTCCTAAATGGAGTGCTCAGTAATGCCCAGGGGATGGGAGGGATCCATCCATGTGCCGCAATTTCACTTGTAGTTTACAGCAGCTCGGAACTTCGACTTACTGCTGCTCAGTGTTTTAAATCACCGGCTAAAGCATTTAGCAATCTATCTGTTAAAATAGCAAATAGCCAGCTATATCAGGCTATAGCGGTAGTTTTTTTTTCCAGAATGGCCGAGGTCGCATATATGAAAGCAACAAGAACGCAGTAGAACTACTAACGAAACGAAACCACCGATGAGATAGATCACAGAGGGATCTAACCCAACGACTGAACCTTACCCCTTCGGTACAGCCCACCTCCCCACGTCCTTGTCCAATATTTTTTTTATTAAAACCAATCGACCACCAGTCACCCGGCACCTCCCGAACATAGGTTCTCCGAAATTACCATCCCTCGGTAGTTTCTTCTCCCCTCCTGTCTTAGGTCCCGTTCACTTCGCTGAAAAAATAAGCTGAAACATTGTTCCGGCTAATTTGTTGCGATAGAAAAACACTGTTCCGGTTAAAAAAAATAAGCTGAAAAGTACGGATTATATAGCAAACGAACATGGCCTAAATCGTCGCTCCTGGATCGGATCTCTGAAGTCGGAGCCACCCTATCACATCCACACCACCATCTTACTCCTATGGTTGCAGGTCCTCGATCACCTCAATATCTCCTTCAATTCAAGCGATCGATGGTGACACAGGGGAGCCGGCAGCCAGATCTGGACGATGCTACCTTCTTTGCGTCTGCATTATTATTTATTTATTCTGGTAAAGTGCTTTAAAAAATGCTTTTAAGTTGGACAGACGCATATCTTGAATTGTGGAAGTCCAAAAATGGCAGTTCCAGTTGTGTTAATCTTGTGATGACATGCTCTAGCTAATAAAAATATTAAACATGTTAGTTGTGTACTGTTTTTATAATGTTTTGACTTAATCTTGTTAAATAGGCAATTTTAGCTGGTTTTGCTTGCTATTCTCATACCTGAAGTTGTAGTGCTCCAAATGGTATGAAATTTTAATTGTAGGATATATATGGAATTCATGAGCTCTGGTTAAAATTTCATGATTTTTGATGCATGTATTACTGAGTTATTAATTTATCTTGCTAGGTGCTTGATAAGTAGTTGTAAATGCTTGATAAATATCATAAAGGTGTAAAAAATGGAAAATGTTGTTCCATTGCCTTTGCATGGTGTGGTGGTAACCGAAGCAAACCTAATTTGGTAATGTGTTTATAGAAAATATGGAGGTTTAGATTTGTCTTGCTCTCACATGCTTATTTGCAATTAAAACTTGTTTTTCATGTAATAATTAATTTATAAAACTTGAGCATGTAAAATTTATACAGTAGCCATGCTTTGTTATCATATCTCTCTCATAAAAATCTAGGATCCAAATTAGAATATTTGCAACATCACCTTTTTATTAGTTGCATGTTAATTAAACTTTGAAGGAGCATGTGCTTTTCTTATTAGATGTTTATACATGGTTCTTGTGATGCTAATGTCATGTGTTGGTTTGAGATGAGGTTGTATGGGTTCCTCATGATGGCTTAGAGCTATGTGTCTGATGTGCTTTTATGTCACCTTGTTATAGAAAGTGAAAATTCATTTTGCTTATGTGTTGAAAATGGCTGCATGTATAGTTTTTGTGGTGGTGATATATTCGTGATATAAATGATGTTTTATGTAGATATGTTGAATACAAAAGTTGTAGATAATTTCCTTATCATTCTTGTCCTAAAATTTCATGATTTTAGGCCTGCTGGTTTAGGAGTTATAGGTTTTACAAGTTTACTGTCAGCTTTTGTATGTGCTCTGAACAGATCTGAATGATTGTATTATTTAGCTTATTTAAACATAGAATCATGTATTGGTGATAATAGGAGAATTGTAGTGATTTTCCTAATCTTTCTAAAATGTCTAAGATCACTATTTTTGCTGGTCTAGAACTCTAGTTATTGCTGTTCAAAGTGGAATGACAGGTTCTGTTCAAATCTGGACAGAGATGCCTTCTTGATGTTGTTTAACCTTGTTAGCTGTAGAATCATCTTAAGATGATGATAATAAAGTTGTAGATAACTTAATAATCTTTCTATAACGTTAAGGATCATGCTTGTTGGATGAATAGAGCTCGAGATATGCATTTCTGAAGTTACTATCAGCTTTCTACCCTTAATTGTATAGGCTCCGCTTCACGATGTATTTTAACACTGTACTTGTCTTGCTTGCTTTCTTGTGATGCATCGTCTATGGCACTTCCATGCGTTCATACATCTGCATTGTGCATTTCATCTAGGTATGCTAGATGCACCACTTGAAGGACGTGATGTTGGAGCCGAACCCGAAGGCGGTGTATGATGAACCTATCCCGAAGATGGAAGGACTAAGCAAGTGCTAGGACCGGAGATGTCACCAAGATGATGCAAGCTAACTAAACTGACTTTGTGTCGGATCGCAGGCAAGCCCCGGAGCATTCTAAGCCTCGTATATTTTTACAAATATCACTTGCGTCCTTTATGTTTGATGCATTAGGTTATATGAGTTGATTGGAAACACTTGATGCATATAACTTCCTTGTCCAGAAATATACCTTAAACCCTGTGTAGGTCCATGATCGAATATATGCTTAGCAATGCTTAGACCGGTAGAAGTCAAATGATTTCCTATCACCTGCGAGATATAAGTGGATATTAGAGCACGGTTGACAATATTTGCTATCGTGGAACAGAACAATGGGGTGATGAATAAATGGAGGTCGGGTGGAGTCTATGTGTAGGTTGACTCATGTGATTCCGTCTGTGTCGATTAAGGACCGCATCATTGGAGGCCCTCTTGTCATTTTGAACGCATACCTCTCACTTAGCTGGTCGGATAACTCGTTCTGACCGTGAAGCCGAGTAGCTCAACTCAGACCGAGCCTCATTCTATCAAAGTGCGCACTCTAGATGGTAGTAAGGATATGAGGAGAGCCAGATGTGAGCCCAAGGGCAGGGTAGTCCTGATCGTCCTGGCAGCTGGTTGTCCTTGGTTGTGCGGCGCTGATCGAACCCGCGAAATGTGTACCTAAGTTGTATCAAAGGTGACCTAAGACTACCTTGGCGCAGGTATGTCTTGGTTTGTGTTAGGAATAATTGTCCAACTGATTGCAATTGATTTGAATCGCCGTCTCTCCCGAATAGTGAGAAACTTGACGGAGCTTCTTCATCATAGTAATTGGATTATGGAATATGATGGTTCTGAAGAATATGAAAATCTTACATTGGCTATGGTTACTATTGTTATGCTACTAAATAATATACCACATGTTTGGCATAGGTTAGTTGCTAATCTAGAGATGATTAGCTATAATTAACTTGGTGACCGAATTATAAAATGTATAGATGAATTAGTGGCTTTTTATGTAAAATGTTGTCAAGCTAGCTCCACTTATAAAGCCTTGCATGATCCTTGGTATCACTTTATTTTTGGTTTATGACAGGTAAGTCTAGCTAAGTACCTTCTTGTACTTAGGTATATCCCACCATGTTACAGGTGAATTTCTCGGCCTGCTAAAGATGATGGCTAACCGTCGGTGGGTTCGGTGACTATAGTGTTCTTAGCTATATACTTCTGTCAGAGGATGTTACGTATGCTAGCAATGTATTTGAAACTTATATTATCGTAATTAGTTGAAAGCTATGTTGTTTTCACTAATCGGTTTTGAAACCCAAACTTATATTATTATTTGTGAACTCATTGTAAACATTATTTCTGCTGCAACTCTGTGTATATGATATGTATTTGCTTAATTGTGCAATCTAGGTTGTGATGTGGATTTACCGAGGTCCTTCGTGACACTTGGCGAACTACCAGATTTATATAAGTGAAAGTATGTGCACGTCAACTTGTTAAACGGGGACAACCGTACTTGATCTTGTATAAATTGGGTGGTTCTGTCACAATGACTCCCCTGAAGAAAAGGACAATCCAATCCCCACACAAGAAGATGTTTTGACAGCCGAATCATTACCAATTCCATCTAAAGCTTTAGCTGCCAACCCAATTCCTGAAATTCTTCCTTTGGAGTTTCCTTTTGAATTCGAGGAGGATCTTGTCCCCGATGTTGGAAAACATCTTGAGCCATCCAATCCAATAGAGATCCTTGGTGTCCTTGACCCCAAATCATCATCTTCCCTATTCATCCCAAGATTTGGTTGCCAGGAGCCCCTCGAATCAACATCATTTTTCACCTCAGACTTTGATCTCCCCGATGTCCATCATTGTTTCTTCGTTGATAATTCAAACCAAGGCGGCACTTCACCCCTTTTGGTTGACACCAAATGGGACCATAAATCATATGAGGCTAGGATCCCTATCCCAATGAAGGACGAGGATAGGAATCCACTCGTAAAATGCCATAGACCAGAGATGATGGACGGATATGTTTGGTCTATGGACATTCTCGAGGGATCAACTTTGGAGTCTAAAAAGGAGGATCATGTGGACAAACATCAAAGCTACATTCTAGAAGAGCCACAAGATCCACACTTTTGTGAGAAATTTCCCGATTCAATCTTTCCTTCTACCAACTGCACCTATGAGAGTTACAACCATCCTATGCTTCTCTTTTACCAAATCCTCAACTGTTTTTTCTTTTTC